TGCGAGACATGCGATAGCGATTGTGGCCGCCTCTTGCTTGTTGAGGGACTGAGAGGAGCTCGATGACCAAAGTACGGGAGCTGAAGCCACAGGAGAATTTGGCGGATCTGAGCGGTGGAAGCGGTGGCAACTCGGCCGACGATCCTGGCGCACCTTTGCTCTTGCTGGCGACCAATCAATCTACGCGCGTTGCCAGCCTTTGAGCTCGGATTGAGGGCCTGGGACCTGTCACCGTATCCGCCAAGCTCTCAGAGCCGCTGCGAGATGCCGAACGAGAAGCTGCTTATCAGTCGGTGCGGGACGCATGGCGGCGACTGCGGTAGCGGAACATCGTGGCTCCGACGGCGAGCTCCAAACCTGGGTCCTATCTGCGCTCTTCCTTATCTATAGAAATCCGCGTCAGCCTTGAACGCCACACCGCCTGTCACTTTTGGAAAAGTCTCGCGAGCCGAGGCGCATTTGGACAGCTCTGCGGCAGGGCAGCAGGAATCCGCGCTGGCAACGGCAGCTAGTAGGGCGCTAGTGCCAGGGGCTCAGGCACAACCTCTCTGCTGTCTGCCCAGAGATACGCACTAAGCCGCTTTCTGTGATGAATCGTCCGGCAATCATACTAAGCACAATGCGTCTACGTAGGCCAGGCATCGCCGGCTTGAAACGGCATCTCGAAAGATCGTGCAATCTAAGTGACCGTATGTCCGAGCAGCCAATAGCACGCCGAGGATCTCTCGCGCAAACGGCAACTTGATCTAATCACATCCCACGCCGGGATCCGCCCGTCCGAAACGCCGCCAGTGAGCGATAAGCATCGAGTCCTTGTCGGGAAAACTCGATCAAGAGCTGCCTCGTCGCATAAGCGCCAAAGTGGCAGGAGTCGCTTGGGGCGAGGCGGGCTCGTTACCGTGCACTGTCAGTCTGTCCCCGCAAGCACCGGCATTCTTTCCTAGACTTGGTGAAGGAGAGTCCGGAGTAAACAGTGCTTGCACGCTCTCAGTCACTATTTGCTTGAGGCTTTGATTGTCTAACGATCTTCCAACGCTATCCTTCGCCAAATCCACCTCGGCTTCCACCATCACAACACACCGTCAACGTCGGACCAAAGCTGCTCAGATGTCTGTCTCAACAAAGTCAGGAACAGAGTCGAGGGGCTCCTCGTCTGGATCGCCATCTTCGAGCGTTTCTTCCTCAGTCACCACTCCTGAACCTTCCAGTCCTACACTTTCTGCTGTGAAAGTAACCTCTCAAGATGCAGCAGCGTCACCCGATCCATTCATGCCAAGGCCGTACTATGACGACAAGATTCTTCCAGCAATCCCCTTGTCGGAAACGGTACAGCCGTTGGCCAGCGACTCCAACACACCGGACAACTGGATTGCGCGCGACGAGCGCATGATCCGCCTCACCGGCAAGCATCCATGCAACACCGAGGCGCCGCTTGCTGATCTCTTCTCCAAGGGCTTCCTCACGCCGCAGAATCTCTTCTACGTCCGCTCGCACGGCGACACGCCCAGAGTGACGCAAGAGCAGGCACAGCAATGGAAGCTCAAGGTGCACGGCCTCGTGCACCGCGAGATCGAGTTCAGCATCCTAGAGCTCAAGGAAAAGTTCCCGACATACACTCTGCCGATTACGCTTGTGTGTGCAGGCAACAGACGCAAAGAGCAAAACATGGTCGCAAAAGGACTCGGCTTCAACTGGGGTGCTGCTGGTGTCTCTACCGGTCTCTTCACCGGCGTGTACCTCGCCGACATTCTCGAATACTGCAAGCCGAAGAACCCACTTCTGTCGTCTTTCCCAGCTTACGATGTCGTCGTTCCCGGACGCGCAAGGCACGTGGTGTTTGAAGGTGCCGACGTGCTGCCCAAGGGCAAGTATGGCACTTCTCAACGCCTCAACTGGGCTCTCGATCGTAGCAAAGGCATGATGATCGCCTGGGGTCTGAACGGCGAAGACCTTTCGCCAGATCATGGCTACCCATTGCGCCTTGTCGTGCCTGGACAGATCGGTGGCAGGATGGTCAAGTGGCTCGACCGTATCGAGGTGTCGGATCGCGAGAGCCAGCATCACCTACACTTCCATGACAACAAGGTGCTCCCAACCGAGGTCACAGCAGACCATGCTAGGAGCGAAATGCACTGGTGGTACGACCCCAAGTACATCATCAACGACCTCAACGTCAATGCCGCCATCTGCTCTCCTGATCACAACCAGATCATCGACACTGTCGGTCCAAGCTCAACGCAGTCCCAGATGCTTCCCATCCAGGGCTACGCATACACTGGTGGCGGAAGACGCATCGCTCGGGTCGAGATCTCGCTGGACGACGGCTACACTTGGAAGTGTGCCAGCATCCACTATCCGGAGGACCTCTACCGCATGTACCCAATCCAAGATCACCCCTACTTTGGCACTCTGGATCTCAGCTCGAGCGAGATGAGCTTTGCCTGGTGCTTCTGGCGGCTTGACATCGATGTCCAAGCGGATCTGATCGGCAAAGAGGTCAAGGTCATCTCGGTCCGAGCCATGGACGAGGGTCTGGCGACCATGCCGCGGGACATGTACTGGAATGCGACGTCGATGATGAACTCCTGGTGGTTCCGTGTCGCTGTCCACCGCGAAGGACACGACGGCAGCAAAATTCGCTTCGAACATCCAACGCTGGCTGGGAACGCGCCGGGCGGATGGATGCAAAGGATGAACGAGGCCGGTGCCGATCCGCGCTATCCTGACTTCGGCGGTGCGGGCAGCTCCGCATCCCAAAGCTCTCTGCCGGCCGCCGAGACTCAGTCTGCCGAAAAGGAGGCGAAAGAGGACGACAGAGCCGTCATGCTCGATCCGGCCAAAGCTGACGTGGTCGTCTCTGCCGCAGATCTCGCAGCTCATGGCGATGGAGAAGGGCCTGAACCGTGGTTCGTCGTACACGGCCACGTCTATGATGGGACGGGATTCCTGAAAGACCATCCTGGCGGCGATCAGTCCATCCGCCTTGTGGCCGGCGAAGATGCTACCGAAGACTTTATGGCGATCCACTCGATGGATGCCAAGAAGATGCTCAGAGACTACCACGTAGGCCGTCTGCAAGAAGTCGACTCATCGGCTGCTGCTACAACGCCTTCAAGCGAGCCAGACGTGGTCGACGCGAGCAAACCGTTCTTGGATCCCAAGAAGTGGCGTGCTACGCGGCTGGTGAGCAAGCAGATCATCTCTCCAGACGCACGGATCTTCCGTTTCGCCCTTGCTGGATCCGATCAGGAGCTGGGCCTCCCGGTTGGGCAGCACGTCTTCGTGCGTGTCAGGCGCAAGGATCCCAAGACGGGCGAGATCGAGACGGTTCAGCGAGCCTATACTCCGTACAGTGGCAACACCCAGCGCGGCTTCCTGGACATCCTGATCAAGGTGTACTTCCCTTCGCTTCCTTCACAAGCCGGAGGTGCGGGTGGCAATGCATCTTTCGAAGGCGGAAAGATGACGATGCTCCTCGAGAACATCGACCTTGCGTTCCAGGCCGATGAAAACCTGTCCATCGAGCTCAAGGGTCCTCTTGGTTCGTTCACCTATCTGGGTGACCGGCAGATTAGGTGGCGGCCGACCAATGCGATCCGTCGCGTGCGCAAGCTCGCCATGATCGCCGGGGGCAGTGGCATTACGCCGATCTGGTCGACGCTCAAAGCCATCGCTGACGAGGTTCTGGCAGGAGGCCCGGCCGCGTCAGATCCCATCCAGATGTGGATCGTCTACGGCAACAGGACGGAGCAAGACATTCTCATCCGTGAAGAGCTCGAGCGCCTTCGCAAAGCACTGCAGGGCAATCTTCACGTCTGGCATGTTCTCAGCAGCTGTGCTTCCGATTCCACGTGGGCCATGGGTCGCGGCCACCTCAACGTCGACTGCCTCCGACAGCACTTGCCGCCGCCGCCGCCCGTGCCTAGCTCGCCTGAGGAGCTGGAGGACACGCTGGCACTGGTGTGCGGTCCGCCGCCAATGGAGAAGGCCGTCTCGACGGGCCTCAAGCAGCTCGGATGGGACCTAGACCGCACTGTCGTTTTCTTCTGATTGCAATCGATGTCGTGCTGCCCGAATACACCTGTATGCAGGCGCCGCGAGTGAGGCGCTGCTGCGAGACTTGCATGCTGCGGTTCTGAGACTGACCTTCAGAAGTGCCTAGTTGCGCCGAGTTTCAAGGTGTTAAGCTGCCGACCTTCACACCTGTCCTCGAATTTATCGGGGAAGAGAGGGCCATTTTGCAAGTCAAGACAAAAATTCCCACGCTCTCGTCGAATTTGGCGGGAAGAGAGTGCAAAATTTGCCGCATCGTCCAAGTCACGAGACCCAATCCATGCGTTTTCGAGTTTTTCGCTTGCCCGCCGCCAGGCAGAGCAGCCACCGATTGGCTCTTGGCTCCAGACTGGCGATGGAAGAACCACGAGACAGCGCTGGGTGGGACTGGGAGCGAGGCTCGATTAGACAGTTGCCAGGCCGCAGCGGGTGTGAGTTTGTGCGGACAGCTGGGAGTCTGTGGTCAGAGACTGGCGGCGAGCGAGCGAGCGAGATGAGCGCCGACGAGGTTTGTGACCGGTGCGAAGCGTCAGCACACCTCTCTTCCCTCTACGAACATCCTCAAGGCCTAACGTGAGTAGCTACTCAGGCACAACCGCTGGCCTACGAGTCCAGCGAAGACAGCAGACGAAGAACAGTCCAGCTGACGTGTTCCATGCTTTCCTCCCGCCACCACCTATTCATCACCCGCAGGTCAACATGTCTCACTGCAAGGTAAATATCCCTCCGACTTGATGGGAATCCCTCACAGGGTGCAGCCCGGCTACATTATTTGTCATGGATCATCAGCATGGAGGAGACGCAGGAGGACGCATAGCCGCGCCGCACACATGATGCTTGTCACCATAGATGCAAAGAGGACGGGGAGGAAGATGGAGGATCAGCAATCGCACCTGTAGCCGGGCAACCCAGTAGCACTTGTTCTCGCGCCTTCATCTCTGCGCGCAATGGTGGACGATCCTAGTGATCTCGGCCATATGATTGTCTCGACATGCATCGACGTCAGCACCAACAAATCGGTCGATGGAAGTGGAACTTGTTGGGCAGTCGAGGTGGATGCAGGCAAGCTGTGGATGACGGTGGACTGGTGGACCTCGCTCAGCGAACATGCAACCGTAGATCTATTCGCTCGCAGCGTTGATCTTTAACACTGCAAGTTTCGATCGAAAGTTGTTCACCGTCTGAACCCGCCACACCGCCAATCCGACATCGTGTTCGCCACCCTCGTCACGAGCATGCACCTCTTCATAACTGTTCTCGACAACATCCAGCACTTTCTCCCGTAGCAACGATCGACATTGCGTCCAATCATCGCCGCTCAGAGACACCGCCGATGGCACTCCATTCGACAGAGATGAAGGCGAAGAGGACAGGCTTCAGAATGCTTTTAGGTCGATGTACAGCTTTGCTGATGCAGCCTGGCATTCGCCTGCTTTTCGCTTCCCTTTTTCCATCTGCTTTCTTCGCACATCATCGACATCGCTCCCGCTCCGACAACTCCTCGTCGCTGCTGCTGCCCTGTCTGCTGTTGATGCACTCTACAGTTCGAGCACCCGCGACACGGTTCGCTGGGTTTCCTTCCCCGCAAGCGCGCTGCCCGCCACCGCGGAAAGGTTAAGGCGTAAGTAGAAGCGTGCGCTAGCATGCATGTGTGGTTGATTGCCGGACGGCTGTACTGACCTTTCGAATCCTGTTCCCCCCTGAATAGTTTCCCCAAGGATGACCCCAAGAAGCCCGTCCACCTCACCGCCATGATCGGCTACAAGGCCGGCATGACCCACATTGTGCGTGACCTTGACCGCCCCGGTTCCAAGATGCACAAGAAGGAGATCGTCGAGGCCGTCACCGTCATCGAGACTCCCCCCATGGTCGCCGTCGGTGTTGTCGGCTACGTCGAGACCCCCCGTGGTCTGCGTTCGCTCACCACCGTCTGGGCCGAGCACCTCTCGGACGAGGTCAAGCGTCGCTTCTACAAGAACTGGTACCGCAGCAAGAAGAAGGCCTTCACCAAGTACGCCAAGAAGCACTCGGAGAACAACGGCTCGTCGATCTCGCGCGAGCTCGAGCGCATCAAGAAGTACTGCACCGTCGTCCGTGTCCTCGCCCACACCCAGGTGCGCAAGACCGGCCTCAAGCAGAAGAAGTCGCACCTCATGGAGATCCAGATCAACGGTGGTTCCGTCGCCGACAAGGTCGACTTCGCCAAGGAGCACTTCGAGAAGACCTTCGACGTCAAGTCGGTCTTTGAGCAGAACGAGATCATCGACGTGATCGCCGTCACCAAGGGTCACGGTTACGAGGGTGTTACCGCCCGTTGGGGTACCAAGAAGCTCCCGCGCAAGACCCACCGTGGTCTGCGTAAGATCGCCTGTATCGGCGCCTGGCACCCGGCCAACGTCATGTTCACCGTGGCTCGCTCGGGTCAGGACGGATACCACCACCGTACCGAGATCGGCAAGAAGATCTACCGCATCTCGAACGGCGAGGACAAGACCTCGGGCTCGACCGACTTCGACACCACCGAGAAGACCATCACTCCCCTCGGCGGCTTCCCCCACTACGGTCTGGTCAAGAACGACTTTGTCATGATCAAGGGCTCGTGCCCCGGTGTCAAGAAGCGTGTCCTTACCCTGCGCAAGTCGCTCCAGGTGCACACCTCGCGTCGTGCTCTTGAGAACGTCTCGCTCAAGTGGATCTCGACCTCGTCGACCATGGGTAAGGGTGTCTTCCAGACCCCCGCCGAGAAGGACGCCTTCCTCGGCCAGCGCAAGATCAAGGCCCCCGTTGCCTAAGCGAGAGCTTCGCTCGCTTTGGCCTCGTAGGCGCTTCTGCTCTTGTTCTTTTCATTCACCTTGTATTTTCATCTCACCGCATTCCCCCCTTTCCCCCACCCACATTGCATCTGCCACGAGTGCAACCCACCCCCAAAAAATCCATGCGATTACCTGGCTCTTCTTTCGCTGTGTGGAGAGAGTGCGGCGTGTGAGTATACTGTAGTTCGGCGGTGTGCGTGCGGCCCAGTTGAGGAGCTGAGGCAGGGAGGTCGAGGGAGTGCTGCGCGCGCTGCTTCGAGGGAATGGCAGCCTTCAGAAATGTTAGACCGGGACTGTTCGGACCCGAGAGGAATTTGCGGCGGAGGGTCGAAAAAGGACGGAATTGGCCGGGCGAAGCGGGAGGCTAGGGTAGCCAGTCGCGCGCGCGTGTGTTGGAGAGGCGACTGGCGAGCTGTTGCCGATCGGAGCAAGTCGAGTGGATGAAAGTGAGCCCTCAAGCCGATGACAAATGGCACGCCAGCTAGAGACCCTCGCAGATTGGCTCAAGCACACAGCGAGCGCGCCTGGCCGTCTCGAGCTGCCCCGCACCTTCAACTGGACCGCGTTGTTCCGTTCTGGATATTGACATCTGCTGTCTACCACCATCCCATTTCGATCAACTATACAAAGATGCGTGCCATGCTCCCCGCACTCCAGCAGCCCTTGAGGCTTTCCATGGCTGCGCGCAACCCGCAGCTCCGCATGATCGCAGGCGGCTCGCGCGCGTTCCAGACCACCCCCACCGGCAAGGTTGCCGCCTCCAGCCAAGGACGTAAGTATCCGCCGCAATGGCCCGACACCCAGTAACGTTGCAACAGCATACTGCACATATCCGACGGTCGTGGCAGCCGATGCTGCAAGCCGGGAAGCAGCATGGACTGCAGAGGCCCACAGACGGCTCTTGCGGTGCGCAGATGCGAGCAGATGGACTTTTGGGCGCTTCGTCAGGCGCAAGGGGCGGCAGGCACGACGACGACGATGGATTTGAGGACGTGCTCTTCTCTCGAGGCATAGTGGCTCGCACAGGATCATTGGCAGTCGGACGAAGCACGTCGACGTTTATCGTCCTGATGCAAGTCATGGCGGTGTTATCGACGTCTCTCGCACGCCTGTCCAACTGTATCTCGGTCCAGCGAGCCCAGATAGAAGCTAGCCAGAGGGGACCGTCTACCTCCGTCGATACTCCCGCTGTCACGCAGGAACGCTTCGCGCCAACGAGAACATGCATGGCTTCACCGAACCTAGTTTACTGACTGTTGATCCGCATTGCCCTTCTCACATGTACAGCCTACGTCAAGGGCACCGTCAACGACCCTACCCCTTTCCCCGAGCCCAACGCTGCTCACGGCTCGAACCACTGGGCGTTTGAGCGTGGGCTCTCGGTTGCGCTGATCCCGCTTGTTGCAGCAGGATTCGCCAAGCACGGCTCGTCGGCCATCCTCGACGGCGCGCTTGCGCTCACGCTCGTTGTGCACTCGCACATCGGCTTCGACTGCATCCTCGCTGACTACCTCCACAAGCGCAAGTTCCCCATCGCCGGTCCGCTCTCCACCTGGACGCTCCGTGCGGCCACCCTCGCGACGCTCTACGGTCTCTACGAGTTCAACACCAGTAAGTATCGCTCGCCTGACTTCTTGCCATTTGCACAGTATGCTGATCGCACGCCCCGTTTGATTCTGCGCGCAGACGATGTCGGACTCACCGAGCTCATCGCCAAGGTCTGGACTGCCTGATTGGACATTGAGAGCAGCACACGTTCCGTCTTGATGCCAATCGTAACCTGATACTCGTTCTTTGCACTTGCTCGCCTTGTGAGGCCGTGTGGACGTCCAGACTCATCCACTTCAGTATTCGTTCCCGGTTCATGATCAGAGCAAGCAATGCGGGCATAGTTTGCCTCAGCAGGCTGTGCGTATCGAGTTGCTCGAACGCCGACAAGTGGAGCAGGAACCTGGCATGTGCGGAAGTGCGGAAGGGCAAGAAGCGAAATGCTCACCTCTGTTCGTGCAAGAGGATCTCACAAATAGCGAAAAATTAGACCCTGAACTCCACACAGAACGTCGAAAAATTTGAGAAGGAAGGCGAAGTGCGAGTTTTCTTCGCAACTCGCATGCATGGCTCTGTCCGAGGAGCTCACCTCCGGCACTCGACACCACCATCCCACGGCTCAGACCTCTCGAACAAGTACACAGAGCCATTCTTTGAGGCCGTACAGAGGACTGCAACCCTTCCGAAGACCTGCTGGCTTGCTACAGAGTGACATCCATCTCGCCGCCGCTAGCCGACTAGCCGGCTCAAACTCTATACACAATGGTGAAAAGGCGCAGGAAGACGCGCACGCATCTCAAGGGCCCCAACAACAGCGCGGCGAGCTCTACAAATGCGCCCAAGTCGTTCATCATTCGCACGGGCAAGGTGCCGCGCGCGGTGTCGGCGTTGGTGCAGGACACGCGTAAGGTGATGGAGCCCAACACGGCGACGCGGCTTCGCGAGAGGAACTCGAACAAGCTCAAGGACTACATCAGCATGGCCGGTCCGATCGGCGTCACGCACCTGCTCATCTTTGGTCAGACGGACGCCGGTACGAATCTGCGCATCCTGCGTGCGCCGCGCGGACCGACGCTCACGTTCCGCGTCAACAAGTATGCGCTCGCCAAGGACGTGCAGGCGAGCAGCAGGCGTCCGACGCCACCGGGAAGCGAGTTTGTCACGCCACCGCTGCTCGTGCTCAACAACTTTGGTGGCGAAGAGCGTCAGATCAAGCTGCTGGTCGCCACGTTCCAGAACCTCTTCCCGCCCATCCAGGTGCAGTCGATGAAGCTCAGCCAGGCACGCAGAATCGTGCTGCTCAACTACAACGCCGCTACAGGTACGATCGACTGGCGACACTACCTCATCTCGGTGCGTCCCGTTGGCGTCTCCAAGAGTGTGCGTCGCGTGGTCGAAGGTTCGCGTTCTGCCTCTCGCACTGGCACCAAGCGCGGCCGTCTTCCCGACCTCTCATCCACGCAGGACATCTCCGACTACGTTCTGGGCCGCACCAACGGCTCTGGCAGCGTCAATGGCGAGTTTGAGACCGACGCCTCCGAGGCGGAATCCGAAGCCGAGGATATCGCCGATCCGCGCAACAAGGTCCATCTGCACGACCGCTACGTCGGACGCGGCAATGCGGCCAACACGCAGAAGGCGGTGCGTCTGCGCGAAATTGGCCCGCGCATGGAGCTCAAGCTGGTCAAGATCGAAGAGGGATGCAACGAAGGCGCGGTGCTCTTCCACGAGTACATCAAGAAGTCGGCCCAGGAGCTGACGCAGCAGCACCGCGACCACGTCGAGAAGAAGAAGCTGCAGGAGCAGCGTCGACTCGAGCAGGAGCAGAACGTCGAGCGCAAAAAGGCCGAGAAGGCCGAACTCCGCAAGACCAGCCGTCGCAATGCAGGTCTGGCCTCCGAGAGCGAGGCGGAAGACGAGGCGGCAGACGACGAGGCGGACGAGTCGGACGACCAAGACGAGTTTGCCTACGAGGACCAGTTTGGCGATGCCGAGGCGATGGACAAGGACGAGGAACTGTTCGATGATGACCAAGAGTCTGACAGCGACGGGGAGCAGGACGAGGCAGAGGAGGAGGAGAGCGACGACGATGACGGTGGCGTGGCATGGAACCCCAAGCGCAGCGAGTCGGGCTACGATAATCCGCCCGGCATCGAGCCTCACTCGGACGAGTCGGATCTGGAACCCATCCCAGTCGGTGGCATGCAGCACGACTACGGAAGCGCCGATGAATGGCCCGAATACTCGGACGAGGAGGAGGAGGAGCAAGCACCCAAGCCCAAGAAGTCGGCACCCGTCAAAGCGGCCAAACGACCATCTGCCGGCAAGAAGGCCCGCCGCTAAGCTGAATCTTTGTCGCATTCTGGGTTCCGTGTTCTGTAATGCACTGTCACACTCTCGTAGTCACCACCTCATTCGAGTCATGCAGAGACGTGTGCGCGTTCAGAATCTCGATGGCCATCATGTCACGACTGAGTTGGCTTCTGTGAGTAAAGTGGTGTTGTGTGAATTGCGCCAAGATTGATCAAGCTGCGTCTTCGAGGCCCTCCACCGTCTTGAGAAGCTCCGTAAGTTGGCGGTAGAGCTTGAGAATCACGAGCTGGTCGATCGGGTTCATGCATTGCGCCTTGTCATCCCCGCTGTTCTCCAACTGCGCTGCATCGTCCGTCGGTTTGGGGACGTCAGCGGTGGTGCCCCAGCTCTGAGCCATGCGCGAAATCTTTCCGAGCGCACGCCGCAGATCCTTGAGCTCCAACTTGATCGCAAACAGCGCAATCTTCTTTGCGTTGGCCGCCGACGGTTTGTACGTGCCGATGGTCACATCGAGACCGCCAAAGAACCCGCCTGCAGCGGCCACTTCGGCAGACTCGGTCTTACCCGCCGTGGAGGCTGCGAAGCCCTCGCGCAAGACGCGCACCGCGCGTGCATAGATCTGCAGTGCTGTCGACACGAGTAATGACGCCGAGATCTCGGTGGATGGGTCCGACTGGCACGTCGGACAGTCGGCCGAACACGCACACTGCGCCGTAATCGCCTGCGACGCCGTCAAGGTCAGCTGGATCGTATCGGTCGCAAAGCTCGCTGACCTAGCTGCACTCGTCGCCGTGCCGCGGCCGTCGGTTCGCGCGGGGTCAGTCTCGCGCAGGACTTGCCTGACACTGAGAAGCGCAACGCTCATATCGCATAGGCAGGTGCAGCCCTTGCCGCTGGGATTGGGCACACAGTGCACCTTCCTCGGATGATGGGCGTGCGTCTCGGCGTGTCGTCGACACTCGACGTTCAGCGACTCTTTGACCTTGCCCGTGACGGCGGCTGACGTCGACAGCGGTCCCATCTCGATCTCGACCTCCGCGCCGCTCTTGGACGTCGCGGCAGGGCCGTTACTGGAGCAGCAGCTGTCCGTATCGGCCACTTCGTTCTGAGGCGCGAATTTGCCACTACAGCAGGAAGGCGCGGAAGTCGGCACGGACGCAGGCGGTGTCGCTTGTCGCGTCGGTTTCGACGAACAACAAGGGCTCTTCACCACGCTGTCGACACCCTCGCCTTTTGGCCGCACATGTTCGTCGACGGGCGAATCGCTCGTGCCGCTGTTCGGCTTGGAAGAGCAGCAGCTCTTTGTGCTCGACCCGTTGACCTGAGCACCATCAGGACTTGCCGATGATCTTGCAGCAGCTTCGAGGCCCGGTAGTGTAGACCACCCGAGGCCAGTCTCTGTGGCCGCAACGGCCTGCTGGATCTGCCCTTGGCCCATCCCTGCCAATGCACCCCTTGGCCACGGCTGGTCGCTGCCGAATGTAGGTCGGCGCTTCCTTGGCTTTGCTGATGACAGCAGTGCACCCTTAGAAGATTGTCCGCCAACCATGCCCGCTATCGACGGGGTCGAACCAGCTTGTGCAATCTGTCCCGCCTGGAACGAGAAGGCGGGTAGCTCTGCTGATGGCGTGCCCGATACACTTGGACCTCCCGAGCCAGGGTCGGCGCCATTGAGGCCGAGGTCCCACCAGCTGAAGTCGGCCGGCACCGCAAAGCTAAGTCCCGGCTGCAGGATCGCGCTGCTCAATGCCCATGCCTCGACGGACGACGTCGATATCGGCCTTGCATCGGCGTTAGTCGCCTCAGATGGCGCACCCTGCGCAAAGCTCGCGTCACTCGCCCTTCCTGCTGAGCCCGTCGCCGCGTCCGCATTGCCCCGCTGAAGCTGCTGCTGCATTAATTCTTCCGACGAGATCTCGAGCGTGTCGAGCGACTGCAGGAACGCTGCCACCGAAAGATCGTCGAGCGATGGCATCTTCGCGGCTAGGGCGGTCTGCGCAGGGGAAGGACGTGGCTGCGACGTGGCTGGCGAAATAGGCACGGGCGGCGTCATGACATCGGACGGTGTGACGGCGTATGCCATGGAGTGTTGTTGCGACCAAATGACGGGCGTCGACGGCAGGCGCGAATCCTCGAAGCCCGCGCCGGGGATGGACGGCGTCGAGAGCGAGCTTGGGTAGATGCCAAACATGTTCGGCGTCGTGACAGCGGGTGAGTTGTCGTGAGATGCGGTGCTGTGCTCCGGCGTGCCCGGCATGAAGAAGCTGTCGGGCTGGTACAACGAGCCGCCTCCGAGAGGGGACGCAGTAGAGAAGCTCGAATCCTCCGACCTGACTCTGGCAATCAGATTGTTGGAGGCGCGCTCCTTGCCTTTGCCCTTGAGCTTTGTCTTTTGTGTAGATGAGCCTCCATCCTGGCTCGAAAGGGCAGATCGGGAAGGCGATACAGAGACGGCGTCTTGTCCTTCTTCAACCTTGCGCTTCTTCGGTCGGCCGATGGGCGCTCTGGCTGAATAGACGCATTCTACGTTGTCGCTCTTGCACCTGCCGCATCCTCCGTCTTCAGGCAGAGTGCCGCTGCATTTGAGCTTGCGGTTGCGGCACGCTTCGCAAGCCGTGCGAATGATGAGTCCCAGCCGAGCCGCTTCACCCTGCGTGTACAACTTTCCATCTGGGCCCAAAATGCGGTCGGCTTTGCCAGACCCGCCGACCGCATCATCTGCTACGTCGATCGATGGCGAGAAGCCACCGTCGAACATTTTGGTGGTCGTCTTGGTCGAAGGGGGAGTTTTGCGTTGTTGTGTGTTGGACAACTCCGGCTTGTGTTTGTCATCCGAGCTGCTGCTGCCCGGAGGCAGCTTGGGTGTCGTTGGCGATACCGAGGGGCGGGAGCTGGACGAGGTGACCGGAGTGCGGAATGGCTCATCAATATGGATGCTTTGAGGCGAGGACTGGGAAGTTTCTGATGCCGAGCCGGGGCGTTGAGGAGCTGCGGTCAATTTGCGGTCATTATGGGAGAGACTCGCTTTCTGGTGGCTGAGAGGATGTCGTGGTCGCTCGGCAAGTGGCGGCAGGACCGCAGCGGATGACGGCGCCATGTCGAAATCGAGATGACGCCGAAGCCGAAGCCGAAGGATCGGGCGGAAGAGTCGTCTGAGCTGTGAACAGTCGCACCTCGCGATGCAAGCCCAGAAGGAAAGACTGCCGCTTCCCGAATCAGACTAGTCTCGTTCCTGCGTCTCGTGGTCGCTCACTGGCGGCGGCAAACGACCCGCTTGACTCGCAATTGCGAAATCAATTGACCGGACCGACGAGTAGCTTTTCCGGATCGCCCCAATCCACTGTCCAAGCTGGACAAAGGGAGAGGGCGGTTTGTGCCAGTGGCAAGCGATGTCGGAGCCTTTTCCCGCGAACCCGAGCGAACGTCCAGAGGCAGCGCTTTCGGCGAGCAAGTGCTGTACACTAGCCCTTCCTCTTCGAAGCTGTGAAGCTACAGCTCACAGAGGACCCTTGTATTGGTCTCTCAGGCCTTCCCGCGTAGTAAGAATGATGCTCCTGAGGTGGTTGAGAGGCTGGATATATACCATAGGAGGATCGAAGTCGTGGGTCGACTGAAGTGTCGGGAGGCGCCCGCTCGGAGCCTTTTTTTCCCTCACCGGCCAGCCCTTCAGGGTCCCGCGCAGCCCGATTGTCGAAAGTGGAGTAGAATCGGAATCGCGATTGAAATTTGGCGGAAGCACACGTGACGCGCCCTCCTTATAGCTGGACGGACGCCAAAAGTTCGCGAATCGGAAGTGCGAGCTGTGCTGCTGCTGGGCAATCCTCCGCGTTTCCTTCGCATGCTCCACTTCACTGCGGATGGCCCTCTGAACCGCGACATCCTGCACTGGCCCCGCCGCTAGCACCTTCCTGATCGGCTCGCAGCTTGCTATCAATCCCGTTTTAGCTGCTTCCGAGGGACTCATCCGCAATGCCGGCTAAAAGGCGGTCCGCACCGACAGACGACGCGCCGGTGGACGTGGTCGAGAGCGCGTCCAAGCAACCGGAGCTTCCAGAGGCAATGGGTCCTCTGGCAGCCCTCTTCCCCCTTACAGCAGTATCTCCGGATCCAACCACAGACGAGGCACTCATACCGCTAGCCGACATCAAGCTCGAGCAGGAGCTGCTGCGCAATCCGGACAACTACCGCGTCTGGACATCGTACATCGAACACATCGTCGAGACCAACGTGGTCAAGCGCCCGCCACCAGATGTTGCCTTCACCACTTACCAGGCCGCGCTGCTGGGTCCGCTCGCGAGCAGCACGCAGCGCATCGCGCTACGACGCATCACGAGCATTTACGAACGCGCGTTGGCACAGTTCCCCACTCGCTATGCGCTATGGCGCGACTATCTCCAGCATCGTTCTCGCTTCGTGATGGGCGAACCCAAGGGTGGATTCGAGGCCAAGCGCAAGCGCGATCTACAAGCAGCCCGCGAGAAGCTCGACTTTGGTCCGACGCTCGTCGACTCGCAAGATGACGAGGACTTCGGGCCAGCGTACCGCGGCGGATTGGACGGCATAGTGGGATGGCAGGAGTGGAAGAGTCTGGCGGCGCTGTACGAACGCGCACTCATGTGGCTGCCAACGATGCCACGCATCTGGCTCAGCTACCTATCCATGTTCTTGCATCCGCAGTGTCCGCCTACCTTGTCCCACACGCATGCGCGCCGCACTTTCGACCGGGCGCTGCGCACACTCCCCGGCTCGCTCCACTTGCGCGTCTGGAAGGTCTACCTCAGGTGGGCGGAGCGTCGTGGAGGCGAGACATGCCTCAAGGTATGGCGCCGATATCTACGCGTCGACCCGTCGTTGACAGAGCGATACGTCTCTATCCTGCTGGCGCAGACCGAGGATCAGGATGAAGAGGTTGAAGGCGAGGGCGAGGATGATGACAGCGCAACAACGCGAGCCAAGGGAGGCGTATCGAAGGCGCTGGAAGCATCCAAGCTGCTTTTGGGACTAGCACGCAGAGCAGCAGACGGCTCCTACATCAGCCCGGACGACAAGAGCCCCTACCAGCTCTTCACCGAATGGCTCGAACTCACGGAAAAGTACCCGGAGCAGATCGGCCTCGATCCCGAAGAGGAAAAGCAAGTATTGGAGCAGAGCCTCGTTCCGCTCTCCGCAGCCGGTGTCAGTACAAAGGACAAAGCAGCCAAGCCGGCATCGACGCAGAAGGGCGCAAAAAGCAAGGCATCGGATGCGCCCGAGTCTTCAAGCAAGTCATTGGCAAAGCAGCTCGAGACGGATGCGCGCGATCCATCGCGTCTCAACGTCACTGCAATCATCAAGGAGGACGGGCTGGAGCGCTTTCCGGATCAGTCGGGCCGGCTGTGGACGGGACTGGCGACCTACTGGATCAAGCGCGGCGAGTTCGACGTGGCGAGCGCCACCTTCGAGGCGGGCATGAAGGCAGTCAAGACGGTGCGCGACTTTACGCAGATTTTTGACGCGTACGCAGAGACGAGCGAGAACGTGATTGCTTTCATGATGGACGAGCTCGCCGAAGATGGCGGAGAGGAGGAAGATGACGAGGAGGAGCCACGCGAGCAGAAGGAGGCGGATCTCGACCGTCGCATGCAAGAGTTTGAAGAGCTCATGGAGCGACGACCGTTCCTGGTCAACGACGTGCTGCTGCGACGCAATCCGGACGACGTGCAGGAGTGGGAGAAGCGTGTGGTGCTCTACGGCGACAACGACGACAAGATCATCGAGACATATCGCGAAGCCATTCAGAAGATCAATGCGCGCAAGGCGACGGCCAACTTCCACCAGCTCTTCCTCAACTTTGCCCAATTCTACGAGTACGGGGGGTCCGCCGGCCTTGCCAGACGTTCGCAAGAGAGAGCCGAGGAAGCGGCCGGCGAAGGAGCCGACGTCGCGAATGGAGAGGAGGAAGAGGTCGAGGGCGATCTGGAATCGGCGCGCAGGATCTTTGAAAAGGCAGTGACGGTGCCGTTCCGACGCGTCGACGACTTGGCCGAGGTGTGGTGCGAGTGGGCCGAGATGGAGCTGCGGCACTCGAACTACGACGGCGCCATCCGGGTGATGGCACGAAGCGTGGCACCGCCCAAGAATGCCAAGGGCGTCCAGTACCACGACGAGGCGCTGGCGCCGCAGACGCGGCTGTTCAAGTCGCTCAAGCTGTGGAGCTTCTACGTGGATCTGGAAGAGTCGCTGGGCGACGTGGAGAGCACGAAGCGCGTCTACGAAAAGATGCTCGAGCTCAAGATCGCCAATGCGCAGATCATGATCAACTACGCGGCGTTTCTGGAGGCCAACGAGTACTTTGAGGAGACGTTCAAGGTGTACGAGCGCGGCGTCGAGCTCTTCACGTATCCGGTGGCGTTCGAGATCTGGAACGTGTACCTCAGCAAGTTTATCAAGCGCTACGGAGGCACCAAGCTGGAGCGTGCACGGGATCTGTTCGAGCAGGCGCTGGACAAGTGTCCAGCTCGATTCTGCAAGCCGCTCATGCTGATGTACGGCAAGCTGGAGGAAGAGCATGGATTGGCGAAGCGGGCGATGAAGATCTACGAGCGGGCGACGCGGGCGGTGGGGAGCGAGGAGCGCTTCGACATGTTTACCTTCTACATTGCGAAAGCGGCGGCGAACTTTGGGCTGGCGGCGACGCGGCCGATCTACGAGCGCGCGATCGAGGCGCTGCCGGATGCGCAGACGGCCGAGATGTGCGTGCGCTTCGCCGAGCTGGAGCGCAAGCTGGGCGAGATCGACCGGGCGCGTGCGATCTATGCGCACGCGGCGCAGTTCTGCGATCCGCGCACCCACACCGAGTTCTGGAAGCAGTGGAACCAGTTCGAGATCGAGACGGGATCCGAAGACACTTTCCGCGAGATGCTGCGCATCAAGCGCTCGGTGCAGGCGCAGTTCAACACGGACGTCTCGTACATTGCTGCCTCGGCACTCACGCAGGCTCAACGCAGTCAAGCCCAGCAGGCGACCCAGCAGGACGCGGCAGGCGTCAATGGCAGCGGTGGCGAGCTTGCGCAAGCTGATGCGGCCGAAAGCGACGATCCGATGGCAAGAGTCGAGGCAGCGGCAGCAGCAGCAGCAAGACCAGCCGGACGCCAACCTGCGTTTGTGGCCGCCACAACCGCCGCCAGTGGAGCACGGACCGAGAACGACCAAAACACGCGGAACGACGAAGTGGTGGGCGGCAACGACGACGACGATGACGACCTTCTTTAGCCAAGTCATTCACTGCTATGCGACGCGACGAAGAATGGCATGGCATTGCCAAGGGCTCTGTGATTGCCGCTCCGGACAGCATTGAGCCGTCTCCATGGACTTGAGCGAGACGATCCGGTCTGACGTGGAGAGTGTGGTTTTCCTTCTCTGTGCTTCTGGGAGGCACTTTTTCTTGGGCGGAAGGACGCGACCCCCGAATCCGCACCTCCGCGGCGCGGGCTGTGCCGAGCGAGTGAGTGTGACAGTCCCGAGGCCGAATCGAAATCTAAATTAGAAATTGAGGCCCGATGCAGCGGCTAGAGACCGAAAAATAAGGGGTTGCAGATGGCGAAGTTGTTAGGCGCCCGGAGCCTTTCAGCAGCAGCAGCCGCTCACAGGCCCAACCGTGCGAGCGGTGGCTTTTGGCGGCGGCTGGCTGGCTGGCTGGCTGCTGCTGCTGCTGCTGCCCCGCGCGTCGCCAAAGCCAAAGCTGCGAATTTGGAGAGGCGGCGCTCAATTCACCGCTTCATAGCTTCACACAACTGCCTGCTCGCATTCACACGTTCAAGGCTTGGCTGGCTTGGACCCACCCACTTCATCTTGATCAACCTCTTTGTCGCGGCCACCTTTTGCGTCCCATCGCTCTCATCACACGCGCCTCGCTGCCGTTCCTTCCTAGCTCGCGCCTATCCTCCGTCGTTAAACCTTCAGCCGTGGAACAGCGTCGCGACATACGAGACGCGCTCCACCACTTTGGCCACACCACAGCCGCCTTTCACGACCGCCCTTTCGCCCACAACAGTAGCAGCGACGCAAGTTCTGGCTCCAGCTCGGACACGACCCTGCCTATGGCGTCGTACGCTTCGAAACGCTGCCGTTGCTGCCGTCATTTGTGACGTGCACGTCCCGCCTCCCGCTTCCGCTTCCTCACGGTCCTTGCCCTCCTCCTGCCTCAGCTGCGCTCCATCTCCTGCCGAGGCCAACGGCCTTGGCGCCGCCAGCCGCCATGAAGCTCTTCCACCTTCCAAGAGCGCGCCAACGCTCTCGACCCGTCCACCACCCCACCGTCGCACCCATGCGAACGCGCAAGCCGACCCGGACATCCAAACGAGACAACAGCATCTTCTTCCTCCAGCTCATCGTATGGACACTCGTCGCCGTCCTCTTCGACGCCTTCTCCGGCGTGTCGGCCGTCACAGCTCCGTCTTCGATCGATGCCGCCGCAGGTCTGGTCGACGACCCGAATGCTAGCACTCCCGCAGCCGTCCACCACCGCGAGCTTGTCCGTCCAGGCAGGCATAACCAACTCGCCTCGGCTGGCTCTCGCTTCCGCGGCATTACTCCCACTCGCCCGGCCTCTGTGTCCGACCTCGTACTCGCCAAAACAGTCGTTCTCACCACCGTCGAGGGTGGCCTCTACGCGCTCGACCGCGAGACAGGCAAGCAGCTCTGGTCTCTCTCGCCGCACTCCAGCCATGAATCGGACTCGCTCCTCCGCCCTCTTGTCACCGCACTATACGGCAAGGACCAAAAGTCGTTTGCCGAGCTGGCTCAGGGAGGCCGCACCTTCGCCTCTCCGCTCAGCGAATCCTCCCCGCTCCTCGACAACGGCGGTATCTACATCGTCGAGCCCTCTTCGGCGGGTGACATCTACGTGCTCTCTTCCGCCAACCCCGTCGCCGGATCCGCAGCCTCCCTTAGCGGCGAGCCAGGAAGCGTGCAGCTCGACAAGCTCCCCCTCACCCTCCCACAGCTCGTCGAACTGAGCCCTTTCTCGTTCGCAGGAGACGACACGCGCGTATTCGTGGGTCAGAAGCAGACAACCCTCGTCGAGCTCAACATTCAAACCGGCGAGCTCGGCGCTGTCTTTGGAGGTCGCCAGGCCGGCGTCTGGTGCGGCGCTCAGGCTCACGATCTCGACCCAAATCCTGATGCATCATCCGCGCGAGGCGGTTCCAGCCAGTCCTATCCCGACGCCGATGCCTGCATCGACGACGAGCCCACCCTCTCTGGCTCGTCGTCCAAATCCACCTCGCAGCTCGCCTACATCGGCCGCACCGACTATACGCTCAACATTCACTCGCGGAGCTCGCCAGAGGCCCTGCAGACCCTTCACTTCAGCACCTTTGCTCCCAACGCTGGCGATCGAGATGTACAGATCCTGTGGGCACAGGCTGATCATCCGGATCACCGTGCCATCCTCGGTATGCCCGAAGAGGGCAGCGTCGTTTGTTTCAACCTCACCGAAGCCGACCATGCTTCACGCCACGGCGTTTCGCGCGACGACGGCACCCGTGCGCTGTGGTCCAGTGAACTGCGCGCCAGCCTTGCTGGCGTGTTTGACGTCGTCTACCCCGCGCCGCACTTGCAGAACACCAAGTCGCTCAGCCGACCGATCCTCGTGCCGCATCCCTCCATCCCGCTCCATCGCATCTTCCCGCAGATCGGAGACGGCCGCGATCAAGAGTCGGGAGGCTTTGGAGACGCAAGTCCGCTTCGTCGCTCTGCTTATCTCGGTATTGCTGGCGACAGCCTCTATGCGATGAGCTCGCATCGCTTCCCGTTAGTAGCCTTCACCTCCAAGGCTGCTGCCGGCCTTCCCGATGGAGCCGGCTCGCCGTCAGATAGCCAGACGTGGACGCCCGGCTTGCCACCCTCGCAGCGCGACTGGGCGCATCAAGGCCAGCAGAAGTGCGCCTCGTTTGGATGCTGGCTCGGCAGCTACTCGCTGCAGGTGGACCCATCAGCCGAAGGCCGGCTGCGAGACTCTCTCTTGGGATCCCATCCAACTCTCGAGATCGATGGCGGCCAGCCCAGGCTCAGCATTGGAGACCGACCCGCCTTTGGGTCCGATACCCGCCCCTCCAATGTCAACGATTCGGAGCACTCTTCCTCAGCCTCTTCACAGCCGTCGCGGACGCCAGCGGGACGCAAGAAGGCATCGCCCAAAACCCGCAGACCCGGCAGCCGAGGATCTCCCGACGAGTCGGACGTCGACTCGAATTCTGACTCGGACGTCTCCTCGGGCAAGCCGAGACGACCCTCGGACCCTCTCTCGGACGGCTCCACTCGCAGCTGGAAGGCGCGTCTTGCCATTATCCTTCTGCAGGTGATCGGTGTTCTCGTCGTCTCGGTCTTGGCGGGTGCCACCTACCTTGGCTTGCAGGAGCAGAAGGCACGCGCCGAGCGACAGGCGGCTGAGATCGCAAAGGGCGTCGTCTGGATCCCCGTTCTTAAAGAAGACGAGGCTGGCTTCGCCGGTGAGGCGGGCGCCGAGAAGATCCGTGCCGAGGAGGAGCGTCAGCTGCAACAGGCGATTGCCATGTCGAAGAAAAATGTCGCTTCTTCCTCCAAGTCGAAGCCCGCTTCAGGTAATTCTGCTCGTGCTGTCTCCGACGAAGTCAACGAGGACGACGACGAAGACGCCGAAGAAGCACAAGAAGGCGCGGGGTCATCCAGCAAGAAGAAGCAGAACAAGCGCAGACGTCGCGGAAAGCGCGCAGGCGCCGCAGTTGCAGCCAAGGCTGCCAAGACCAACGGAGCTGAAGGCAGCCCAGAGCCTGTGGACGCCAACGAGGCAGCAGAAGCGGGACCGGACGGAGACGTCGATGCGAAGACCTCAAAATCGGAGGACGATAATGACGACATGGCTGCTTCCCCGTCGCGACCTTTGAAAGCGGCGAAAGAATCGGAGCCGAGCTCGGCGTCCCGGACCAGCGTGTCGGACAGCGTCTCGTCAAACTCGAATGACGACGAAGAACCGCTCACGCCGCGCAAGCCGACCGCGGAGAGAAGAACGGGCAAGAGCAATGGCACCAGCACGCTGCGGTCGGCGATCAAGGCGAGCGACAGTCTACAGCGTGCGCAGGAACTCATGTCTCCTCAAATGCGCTCGCCCTTGCTCAACACGGGCTGGGGCGGATTCGAAGAGGAGGACGCCGCCTCGGTCGGCAGAGCGGCGGCCCAGATCGCCGCCTCCGGAGCAAGTCAGTTTGCAGGCGCTGCTCCGAACAATGGCATCAGCACGTCGTCGCTCAGCATCTCGGACGAGGTGCTCGGCTATGGATCCTCGGGCACCGTGGTGTTCCGTGGCACGTTCCAGGGACGGGCGGTGGCAGTCAAGCGGCTGCTGCGTGACTTTGTCCATGTCGCCTCCAAAGAGGTTTCGTTGCTCGAGTCGGCTGACAACCATCCGAACGTCATTCGCTACTTTTACAAGGAGCTCACGCCGAGCTTCCTGTTCATTGCGCTCGAATTGTGTCCGGCGAGTCTTGCCGAGGTGGTCGAGCGACCAGCTGACTATCGCGATCTCAGCAACCTGCTGGACCCCAAGAGGGCCTTGCATCAGATCACGTCGGGTCTTCGACATTTGCACTCGCTCTCGATCGTGCACCGCGATATCAAGCCGCAGAACATTCTAGTGGCGACGTCGACCAACGGCAAGCACCTCAAGATGCTGCTCTCGGACTTTGGACTGTCGAAGCGCTTGGACGGCGGGGCGCAGACGAGCTTCTCGCAGACAGTCAACAATCCGGGTGGTACGGTCGGCTGGCGAGCGCCCGAAATCCTGCGCGGCGACGTCAACCTCGATGCCGGCTCCGAGTCCGAGTCGTCGATGGGCAACAACCCAAAGGCGAGCTCATCGAGAGAGGAGAAGCAGCGTCTGACGCGCGCCGTGGACATCTTTGCGCTCGGATGTCTGGCGTACTACGTACTCTCGAACGGCGACCATCCGTTCGGATCGCGATTCGAGCGCGAGATGAACATCATCCGCAAGCGCGTCGACCTCTCGCGGCTCGATGGGCTGGGCGAAGAGGGCCACGAGGCGCAGGATCTGGTGCTCAACATGGTCTCGCACGACCCGAGGCATCGGCCGTCGGCAGCCGAGGTGCTGACGCATCCGTACTTCTGGGATCCGAACAAGCGGCTCAACTTCTTGCAGGATGCGTCGGACCGATTCGAGATCATGGAGAAGGATCCGCCCACGGCGGCGCTGGTGCTGCTCGAGTCCAAGGCGCGCAACGTGCTGGGCAACGACTGGCATCGCCGATGCGACAAGATGTTCCTCGACAACCTGGGCAAGTTCCGCAAGTACGACCCGGCGTCCGTGCAAGACCTGCTGCGCGCGATGCGCAACAAGAAGCACCACTATCAGGATCTGCCTCCGACGCTCAAAAAGATTCTAGGCAGCTTGCCGGATGGGTACCTGAACTACTTTACAAGGAGGTTCCCCGAGCTCTTCCTGCACGTGTACAACACGGTGGTGCAGCAACCGCTGATCCGGACCGAACCGGTGTTCAGGGAGTACTTCCACTGCGCGGAACCGGAGCACTAGCCACTCGTCACACTAAGTATTTTGCACTGTATTTGTACCGGCCTTCCACCTTTCGCTTTGCACGTCGTCATGTATATGTATCAAGTCTCGCCGTGGTGGTTGTGTGCGTGTGGTGTGTGCTGGGCGAGATGGTGGGGGTAAAAGTTCGGAACTCGGAGACGTGGCCTGGCGGGATGGAGGTCGCGATTTTTTTTGGGTGAAGCGAAGTTTTTGGCAGAGCAGCAGCTGAGCGTGACTGGAAAAAAAGCTGAGGCCAGCATTCCGACTCTTGAGGTTTGAACTCCATCATCTGCGGCCACCATTCGAGGCTGTCAACCTTCTCTACACTAGCACACGGCACCGTAGTCTCTCGGATTGAACTTGACCATGGCGGCATCACGATCGTCGTCAGCGCCCGCGGAAAAGTCGCGGCTGCTGCGCTTTACTGGCCACCGCAACTTTCGGCAGCGTCTCATCCTCGCGCTCGTCTCGCAGCGTCCGGTGCGCATCGACGGAATCCGACCCGACTCTTCCAGCCCGGGTATCCGCGATTTTGAAGCCAACTTTCTGCGTCTGCTCGAAAAGGTCACCAACGGATCGCATGTCGAGATCTCGTACACGGGTACATCGGTGCTGCTCAAGCCCGGCATCATCGCGGGCGGCAAGGTGGTGCACGACTGTGCGCTCACGAGGGGAATCGGCTACTGGCTCGAATGGATGGTGGTGCTCGCACCTTTTGCCAAGAAGGAGCTGCACCTCACGTTGAAGGGCGTGACGAATATGGAGGGTGATTTGGGAGTGGATACGATTCGAACCGTGACTTTGCCACATTTGTCGCTGTTTTTGCCGCTCGACTCGGTGTCGACACTGGCGAGCTCGCTCGAGCTGAGGATTGCCAAGCGTGGCAGTGCGCCCGGAGGCGGAGGAGAGGTGCACTTCCGATGTCCTATCATCAAGAACCTGTCTACGATCAACTTTACCGCGCCGGGGAGGATCAAGAAGATCCGAGGCATTGCGACCTCGACGCGGGTGAGCCCGCAGATGGCGAATCGACTCATCGATGCTGCGCGCGGCGTGCTGGGCCGCTACATCCCCGACCTGTATCTGTTTGCCGACGTCTACCGTGGCGAAGACTCGGGCAAGTCTCCCGGATTCGCCATCACGCTCCTGGCCACCTCGACCACAGGCGCGATCTACTCTGCCGAAGCGGTGAGCAAAACCCAAGACCCGGGACTGCCAGAAGACCTGGCGCAGGATGCAGCACGCATGCTGCTCACCGAGATCGCTGGTCGCGGATGCATCGACCGCAGCCACCAACCCATGGCGCTCCTGCTCATGGCACTCAGCCCCCAGGACGTGGCAAGGTGCACAATGGCCCACCCCACCGCAAACGCCATCCAGATGATGCGCGATCTCAAACACGCCCTCGGCGTCTCGTTCAAGATCGCCAATGCCGACGCGAGCGCTCCCGACGCCACCAACGACGCAGAGAGCGAGGAAAGCGACAGCGATGACAATGACCAAGATACGATGCTCAAGACCCTCAAGAAGCCGGCACAATTTGCCGTCAGCTGCGTAGGCATCAACTTTGCCGGATTCCGAAAGGTCGGCTGATTCCCGTCCCTCGTTTCTTCGATCAAAGCCTTTACTTGCGGCTCTATACCCATTTGAAATTGCACAACACATTGTCTGCACTCCACCGCACAGTGCTCGTCTGCGCCTGACTCGGACCGTGTGCGCGAGCCAGAGGAGTCCAGCGGTACATTGGCAAGAATGAAGGGTCGCAAGACCACGATAAGGGTGCTGTGGCAAGCCATCTGAACCCGGGGCGAGCGAGACAGAAAAGACAAACGGATCGCAGCTGGAAAAGACAGCAGAAAAGGATGGCGAAAAAAAAGCAGCTGCTCGAGGCAGCAAAAAGTGAATCTCCCAACGTGGGGCTCGAACCCACG